TATTGTAAAACGTATAAAAAAATTTTTTATCAATTGTGTAACCGATCTTCAAATTGATGGGACGGTCGCTCCTGTTGGATGAATCATGATTATTTTTATTTATTTATTTTTTTTTTGATTGTTAGAGTTATTAGAGAACGTTAAAATATGGCTTTAAGTAGGTTATAGAAAAACTTATTAGCAATATCAGATATATATATTTGATGTTATGCGTTTATCAAAGTTTTTAAAACTAATATTTTCTCATGATTATGCATATTTAACTGAGAACTTTGATGAATTGATAATTTCTTGACCCGTAAAGATCACATATTATAAAAAAAAAGCACACGAATATTTCTTTGAATTAAAATATCATAATACTTTAGATTAAAGATTTAAAGGTAAAGGGATAGTATACCTTTTGAAAAATAGATATTCAAGTAAAAATAATTTTATTTTGAAATGTGTGTTTTCGTTCTATTGATTTTATTAGCTTTGTTTCGTCACCTTTCGTCAGTTTCATCTTTTTAAAAATTTTTTGACGAAACCTAACATGAACAATAAATTATATTCTTGTGTGTTTAACAGTTTTAATCTTACAAAATTCAAATTTCCGTCCTGTAAAGTAAATCTATCAATGCATAAGAACGTGACTTATGTAGAGATTATGCTAACCAAAGTATATAATTTACTCGGATAACCTGGGTAGTCTAATAATATCCGGCGAAGATTTTTCAGCGGTTAAAATCAACAGTATATAAATTATAAAGTGTTTAGACAGATAAATTATAAAGTGCTTAAATAGATAAATTATAAAGTGTTTAGATAGTAATACAGTAAATATGTAACATAATAAAATATGCAATAAATGTTCAAAGTCTTTTACGATTTTTTTTTTCTTTTCACCAAGTTAATATGTAATATGAATTTTAAATTTCAGATTAAAATAACATTTGATACATAAATCCCAACCACCATTATCGTGGAATCCTTCCTCGTAAATATTCCATGATAGCAACAGTACCTTGTTGTACTATTGTGTACCTTGGAACTCTAAATGAATTACCCTCAACAAGTAATGTCTTGATAGTTGTAATATCACCTAACAGGGGAGGTAAAAAATTGATGTTGTTGTTGGAAATATCAACCACTTCCATATTTTCAAATGTCGATGGAGTAATAGATGTAAGTAAATTCGATGTGGCAAGAAAAGTTGTCAGCTTAGGAAATGGGAATTTGGCTGGTAAATTTTCAATTCGACAATTGTTAACGTTAAGTACTTGTAAATTTGGAAACGGTGTTTGTTGTGAGTCATCTGGTAAAGAGGTGAGCTGATTTGCTGACAGGTCCAGCCTGTTCACGTTCGGAAAAACTATAGATTTATCTTCAAATGTCGGAAATGCGGTAAACTTGTTGTGATCCAACTGAAAACATGTAATGCTGGTTCTAAATAATTTGAAGCTAATGGGGATAGTCTGAAGTAGATTAAATCCAAGTAATACAGTTGATGGTTCAAACGCAATTTCTTGTAAATCTTCCTCAGAAACTGTAGTTAATGATTTCTTGGAAAGATCTAATGTCTTTGATGAAATATTCTGCTGGCTTACAGTTCCCATTGTGGAAGTTTTGTCTGGAATTGTAGGCTCGTCCATGTTCTCAAAGTCTATTTTAACAAAAAATTATTAATTATTATTTCTATGTAAAAAATAAGTAAAATATAATATACTCACCGACAGTTGTCAACCTATCTCTTAATGATTTTAACACCGCAGCCGTAGATTTGGTACCTTTTGGTGCATTTCTTATAGGATTACCTTCCCAGCCCAAAAAGTCTAGAGCTGTCAGCATACCTAACTCGGCTGGCAAAACTTTAAGGTCATTATTGCGTAAATCTAAACGCTTTAGACTCTTCAAAGTTATTAAACCTTCAGGAAGTTCGTGAAATTTATTGTCCCCAATATCAAGAATCTCAAGATCAGGTGTTGTGTGAAGTAGAGGACCAAAAGTTTCAAACAGATTAAGTGAAGCAAGAAACTCTTTAAGTTTAGGAAGTTTTATTGCTGGATGAAAAATGGTAGCATTATGAGATTCATCCAAAGCTATTAATCGATTTTGACGAATATCTAATCTTTTCAATGAAAGTAATTCGACCGTCTGACCGTCCAACCCAGTAAAAACTATTTGTAATTTATTTTCACTAATCTCAAGTTCTTCCAAATTCCTCATTCCACTTATTGCCATACCAGGTATTTCTTTTAATTTATTCTTTGCAAGACTTAATTTTCGAAGATTTTTTAAATTTTCGATCTCCTTTGGCAGTCCAGTGATTTCATTTGATGAAATATCAAGTAATTCTAATTTAGTCAGATTACCAAAGGAAGAGTCTAAAACACCGGTTAATTTGTTTGAAGAAAGTTGCAGCTCGACGAGAGAAGATAATGTAGTCAAACAAGCAGGAAGTTCGCTAAAATGATTACTTGATAGATTAAGTGTGGTAAGATTTTGCAGTTCACCAAACTCTTTCGGAAGAGACGACAAATTATTGTTATGAAGCTAATATAAATTAAAAAAAATTTAAACTTATTCATCAGATATACGTATTGTAAAGTATTATAGAAATAATAAAAAAAAAACTTACATCGATGAAAACGAGCGCATTAAATTCTGCGATTCGTTTATCAATTACTTCGATCTGATTATCTGCTGCTACCAATCTTACAAGGTCAACTGTTTCATACCACACATCTGAACCTCCACCGCTAAAATCAATAGTAATACTTTTTGGATCAATTTCATACATTCTCCATACTTCTTCCGGAATTGCTTTAAGAGATCGATGTGAGATGTTTAAGCGACCTATAATAATAATAGAAATATATAATTATTTCAAATTTATGATAAGATTTTATATGATGATCTAATATTATCGTTTATACCTGAAGATTTTGCCTGCTTAACCATTACATTTAAACTTTTGGTACCAATTTCTTGTTCTTCTTCCTTTGCGGAAGCTTTGTTGTTTGCTTTTTTTAACCTAGCTTGGGCAATTGCATCTTTAATAGAAGACGAAGCAGTTGCTCGAATAGGTTTTGAAGTTGTTACGGATGAAGGCGACGGAGATCTTGAACGTTGTGGAGATGTATTTTTTGGAGATAAAGTATTTTGAGAGACAGATGCACCTGATCTTTTGACAGATGATGGACTTTTTGAACTACTTCTATTTGATTGTAAAGATGATGAAGTAGTGGATGAAGTAGAAGTGTTTTGTGAGGTAGCAGAAGACGTTGGCCTAGTAGTTTTAGCCCCTCGAACAGGAGTCGAACCAGTCGATGTTTTACGCATTTTTGATATGACTTTTCTTAAAAGTTACTGTATAAAAACTAGAAATTTATAGAATTTGTTTACGCATTAAAATGTAAGATGCTACCGTTATTTAATCAATTCGATTGCCCTTAAATAAGTTTGATAGATGAATTTGATTCGCATAATGATTCTGAGTAACAAACAAACCTTTATTTAAACTCAACTATTGTAATTCCCTACCGATACTGCGTA